CCCCTGGCCGACCCGAGCGCCCGGACCCAGCGGGTGCCAGCCCCGCAGCCGGGCCTCCTCCGCACCGGGGGCCGACCCAGCCTGGGGAGCCGCCTCCCACCGCGCGCCCTTCGAGTGACCAACGTTGCGCCACCCCAGGCTCACAGCCGTGAATGATGGGGGCCCTCCAGCCACGCGCACGGCGGGCACTGCGGGGCTGGAGTGCGACACGGAGCTGCGCCCACGCTCCGGCCTGGGGCTCTGGGGTGCAATGCGCGCGTGGCCCTTCTTCCCGGGAGACCCCGAGCTTTCCTCAAGCCCTCCATAAACCCCCCAGCACAAACCCGCCCTCTTGCACTTTAGGGTCTAACACACGTTCCAGAACCTACGACGGTATTTGAAACGTTACATACAGAGGGGAGTGGGTCATGTCCAAGCCCAGGGAGAGTAATCAGAAGGTGAGTTTAAATTTTGGGGAGCGCGTCTAGACGCCGAGGGTGTTTGATTAAGTGCTACGGGCCCGGGGTGGAGCCCAGGAAGGCGGGTAGGCGTAGGCTTCCCCTGAAATCTGGTTTGAAATGAAAATCACCGCCACTTGGCCCCAATTAGAGGCCAAACCTTTTATGTAAACACGAATAATTAGCTTTGGTAATAGAAGTGTAAACAGAGTCATCATCCATTGATTTGCTAATTGCCCTTCTGTTCCAAGACAATAGACGGCTTTTGGCCCGCAGACTGGACTGCCCGCTGCGCACCTGAAGCGCAGGTAAATGGAGTCAGAGCTCTCAGAGGGGCTAGTTCCTCGGCTTCCCGGCCTCCCAGTCTCATCTGGCTGTTTCTTCTGGATGTAAACACAGCTCCTGGAAGGCCCCACACGTCCCAAGGGGCCACAGCGGCCAAGAAGTGACGGTGGTGGGGAGGCCCGAGTTTGCTTTACTGGGGACATGGAAGGGCCTCTGGTCAGGTGCTAAGAATTCCCCACTATAACCCATGCAACACAGATGGAAAGGCCCCTGAGCCTGTGCCGCCCTCCAGTCCCTGCTTCCAGGGCGCATGGCTGCATGGCACATGGACTGTGCCAGTCCATCTCATTGTCACTACAAACTGCGATTCTTCAGCCCTAACGACCCCTTCTTGGGAGAAGTCACCTTTCTCCTCCGTCCCTCCCACCGTCCACACGTGTAATGTCAAGTCTGGGGATTTCCTCTTCTTCTGCCTGTTGGACTCCTAGGCTGCAGGATGGCCGGAGTTAAACCCACGCCCTCTAGCCTCACCACAATCCCCTTCCGTCCTCCAGCCCCCAGGTTGCTCCCCCAACTCCAGAACTTTCTAACTAGGAAAGAGGAGGGTGGTCATGCTCCCTTCCCCCTCCCCAAGCTTGATTTGCATAGCATTTTACAACATTGGAGGAATGTCACTAAAGGGCCCCTCAAAGCCAGGGGCCCTTCCCCCCTTCACAAACTGAGAAGGAAGTGTCTCAGAAAAACCCTAGGATGCCCAGCGGGCAGCACCTGGTAAGGTGTGGCTCACGGTAACCGGCTCTCTGGCCAGAGAGGGAGTGACCCACCCTGGGTGGAGGATATTGGTTTTGGCCAACTTGATTGAAGCCCCACCACTCCAGGATCTGAAGGCTGGCAAAGCGTCCTGGGATGGAAGGGTCACCTCCCCCAGGCTGTCGCCTAGCCTGGACCTCCCCCACTTCCTGCCCAGCCCCGAGGCTGTACCTTTGTCGAGGACAGGCCCAAAGATAGCCAGGCTGTCATCGATAGTGGTGCAGTTCCACCGGCGGCCCCGGAACTGGTGCTGACACTCCTGGATGCCCAGCTTCACACCCTCTGCCACGCTGGGCATGATCTCGATGTAATTTCGGCAGAAGCGCAGTTGCTTGGGAACCAGGCCTGGGATGGAGCCGCAGAGGAGGGGCTGTGAGCCCAGGGACGTGTACTGCTGGCCAAGGGCCAGGGACCTGTGGGCAGACAAGAGAGTGGAGGTACTGTGGATGCAAAGCTGCAGGGCCCATCCAGGGCATGGTGTGGCGTCCCAGGAGCAGTGGAACGCAGTGTGAGGCTGTACTGCCCTTGGAAGCACATTTCTCCCTCCAAATGCAGAACTCTGATCCCGTCCAAGCTGCTCCTGCAGCATGGGCGCACCCAACTTGCAGGAGGATTGTTGTTGTTTTTGTGTACTTTTAGGTCAGAACCGACCCGGGGTTGACCCTCTAGAGAGTTTTCAGAGGCAGTAAATCACAGGGAGGAGAGCGCCCATCCTTTTCCAGCTCTAGGATTCGAACTGTTTACCTTTGCGTCAGCTGTGCAATTGGTTACTACTAAGCCACCAGAGGAGAAGGACCAATAGAAACCTACCCAGGATAAACCCCTTCCAGTCTTGCGGTCCAGTGTCCCTGCTGGACATGGAAGGAGTTGTTGGGCTGGACTCTTGAGGGATGCAGTACTTTAGGATCATAGAGTTCTAGTGACCCATGGGAAGGAACTTAAGAGGCAGAGAAGCCAGATACGATCTGACCTCCACCATAAGCCCTTCAGCTTCCTCCCCAAATGCCAGCTGCCCGGTGTGGAGTCCTCTCTACGGCTCCCTGGTATGTTTCCCAGGAAGCAGGACTGACCCTGGCTCACCTGTCTACCTGGGCCTCCATGACCATCTCTGAAGCTACTTCCAAGTGTCCAGATTACCACCTCTCCTCTTGTCAAAGAATGGAACTTTATTTCAAGGCAGGTGTCACAAGGCCAGGAAGGAGAATACCCCTGTTCTCACGCTCCCCCCACTCAAGATGGTGTGGCTTTGGTCAAGTCACCCTACGCTTCAGCCCAGAGATTTTTATAATCAACGGAAGAGCTTTGCAGGCAAAAGAGGGTGCTGTGGTGATACTTTAAAATACCAGAAGATCACCACAAGATAAAGGTAAACAACCCAACTGCAATATGGGCACAGGATATGAAGAGACACTTCACTGAAGAAGACATTCAGATGGCCAACAAACACATGAAGAAATGTTCAAGATCCCTAGCTCTAAGAGAGATGGAAACTATGAACTTAGAGAAAAGGTGAAAGTTTTGTGTTCAAGACTTTTAATTCATAGGGTTGCCATGGGTCATCTATGACTGCAGCACTTAACAACAACCAGTAAGAATAGCAAAATTCAACAGAGCAGCAGACAACAAATGCGGACGAGGTTGTGGAGAAACTAGAACCCTTATTCACTGTTGGTGGGAGTGTAAAATGGTGCAACCTCTATGGAAGGCTGTATGGCGCTTTCTCAAAAACTTGCAAATAGAGATACCATTTGACCCAGCAATTCCATTACTGGGGAATTGACCCTAAAGAAACCATAACTGCCATCCAAGCAGATATAGATAGTATGTGTGTGTGTATATATATATATGTATATGTATGTATATATATGTGTGTGTGTATATATATATATATATATATATATATATATATATATATATATCTCCATGTTTATTGCTGCTTTGTTCAAAATAGCAAAGAACTGGAAACAACCCAAGTGCCCATCAACAAATGGATAGAGAAGCTGTGGTATGTACACGGCATTGAAACAGATAAGGGAGAGAACGGTTTAAAAGTGATAATAGGATTGCTTTCGGCTCGGAGGAGCCCTCGGTGCAACTTTCTTCGGTTGTCCCGCATCTGGGTTCATCCGACACCAGCCACCTCTGCCATGCCACCCAAGTGGGGAAGTCAGTGCCACTTCCGCTCTGGCCCCCAAGATCGGCCCCCTGGGTCTGTCTCCAAAAAAGATTGGTGATGACATTGCCAAGGCCACTGGTGACTGGAAGGGACTAAGGATTACAGTGAAACGGACCATTCAGAACAGACAGGCCCAGATTGAAGTGGTGCCTTCTGCCTCTGTCCTGATCATCAAAGCCCTAAAGGAATCACCCAGAGACAGAAAGAAGCCGAAAAATATTAAGCACAGTGGAAATATCACTTTTGATGAGATTGTTGGCATTGCCTGGCAGATGCGTCACCGGTCTTTAGCCAGAGAACTCTCTGGAACTGTTAAAGAGATCCTGGCGAGCTCTGGTGGCCTAGTGGCAAAAGGCTGCACTGCAATCCCAGGGGTGCACAGTTCAAATCCACCGGATGCTGTGCTGAAAAAGGAGGAACAATTTCCTCCTTACCAGTCAGATCTGATTTGACGGTACACACACACAAACAAGAAAATTTAAAAAAATTAAAAAAAAAAAAGATCCTGGGAACTGCCCAATCTGTGGGCTGCAATGTTGATGGCCATCACCCTCATGACATCATAGAAGACATCAACAGTGGTGCTGGGGACTGCCCAGCTAGCTAAGGAACTACAGATGAAAAGATTTCAATAAAGGATCATTTGTTAACAACAAAAAAAAAGTGATACAGGATTAGGTATTATTTGTATGGCAAGAATACAGAATAAGAGCTGCATAATAAAGTGGACTGGGGTAGGAGGGATTGTATAACAATGAAAGAATTTTTTTTCAAACAGAAAAGTGAACTGTGGGGGAGGAGTGGGCAGGGAGGAAAATGTGCAACAATGAATGAATGGAAATCTAATTTCTCTATACTCTTTCACTAAAATCTCAATTAAAATAAAAAAACAACACCAAACGGCAAAGTGCTATGAGAATTACTGTTCTTCTGCTCCCTCAACTCCCACAGACAACAGAAAGAATAGTTTGTATATGACTGAGAAAATGATCTGTGGGTCCCAGGGGACTTCCAGGCCAGTTTTGACCAGCTCTGCAATTGGGGATTCTATGAGCTGGAGGAAGACTCTCCTTGCCCTTATTTCCGCCTCTGCTTCTTATTGTGTACCATCAAATCAGATCCCGATGACACAGGAGGAGATTGCCCCTCCTTCTCCAGCAGAGCAGCTGGTGGATTTGAACCTCGCACCTTTGGGAATGCAGCACAGCTTCTTGCCACTAGGCCACCAGAGCTCCCTTGCCCTTGCCCTTAAACTCAAGCACTGCCCAAGGCTTTGGCCTGCCACCACCCTCAGCCTTGCAGTGCAGCCAACCAAAGCCTTCGGAAGAGGAACTAGGAGAAGGTCCCAGGGTCAGGTCAGGGGAAAGCATACCTTTGGGCCTGGATGCAGGAATGAACCAGACACCTACCATTTATCAAGCTCCTTCCTGTCCGGTGCCAGGAACTTTATAAACACTATTTCTGGTCAGTTCTTCAAAGTGAAGACCATTACTATACTGTTAAAGGAGGAAATTGAGGCTTAGGGAGTAAATTGGCTTGTGCAAGACTTTTTGGTGTCAGGTCTGTGGCCAAGTAGAGCCTCCCATGTCACGTGTCTTCCCTAGAGCCATCCTCCACAGTTGGGTGGCTCCTCATTTCTGCCAGCCCCTGCAGATCCCACCTGTCAGAGCCGCTCTGGACGCCGTGGCAGTGGGTGGTGCCCACTCACCTTGCACTGCCTCCAGGCTCAGCTGTTAAGAGAGAAGGATAAAGGGAGCCCTCATTTTATTTGTTTTTAACATCTTCCTTTGTCTTAGGACAAGGGAGCCAAACTTGAGAGCTCAGAAGGTAGCCTTTTTGTGACATGATCTTGAGCACCGGGTCCTTAAGGAGAAGGAATGCCTGACCCGGAAGTCTGACTTGTCACTGACAGTAGCGCATTCCTGCTCTATGCTGAGCACAGGGCTGAGTCAAAGAAGTTACCTCATTTCATCCTGATAATAGCCCTCTGATGTGCGGCCATTGTTAGAACCCCGTTTTACGGATAGCTCAGCCTTGCACTTTGAGTAACCAGCCTGGACCTATTAAGCAAGTTATGAATTGGAACCCAGGCCATCTAACTCCAGCAAGCACCCGCTTTCTGGAGCATGCCCACCTGGAGCTAAAGGACTGTCTTCAGGCCTGCACTGTCTGTCTATCCCCTGGGGCTCAGGGCTGAGCTCTTCAGAGTGGGCAGAGTGGCCATCCCACCCCTCAATGATGGGCATAGGACACCAAGTACTCAGCACTTAAAGGGGCCCAGCAGATCCTGCCCACCCAGCCCTGCTTACATTTGTAAAGGATTTACCCCACTCACTGCCTCTGCATTGATTCCAACGCTTAGTGATCCGGGAGGACAGTAGAACTGCCCCATAGGGTTTCTGAGACTCTAAGTCTTTAGGGCAGCAAACGATCACATCCTTCTCTCAGGGAGCATCCAGCTGGTTCAAACCACAGACCTTTCATGTAGCAGTCATGAAACACTTGGCGCCCTATGCCCCAGGACTCCTACAAAGGAGCTGGTACATGCTATTGAGTCACCCACTCACGGTGACCCTGTGTGTCTATGGGAACGAAGCCCAGCCCAATGCGGCACCCTCCTCACAGTCTCCGCTGTGCTGAAGACCATCATTAGAATCCCTGCATAGATCCAGCTCATTGAGGGGCTTCCTCTCCTTTGACTAATCCTCTGCTGTTCCAAGCTTAGTCTTCACAAGTCTGTGTGGTAGAAACTTAATTGACACTGTTATTCTCCCATTGCCTGGATGAGGAAGCTGAGGCCAGGAGCTAAGTCTCCTGCCCCAGTCTGCAGGGATGCTGAGCAGCAGAGATGCACTTGTCTCCCAGCTCAGCTACTTCCAGGTGCCCTAACCAAGTGCTCTAACATCAGCACCCAGACAGCCAGGCAGCTCTGAGCTCTGGTGGGCAGCCTTGACCTGCCAGCCCAAGCTTCTCAACCAGGAGGCCCTTCTTCTGATGTTTAGGACCCTAGATGGGGACAGTTTCCAGAGGGAACTCTCCAGAAGGAATGTGAGGCCAGAGTCTTTGACACTGCCACCCTCTGACTTCACCTAGGTTTGGTCCAAAACACCTACATATTGTCTAAAACAATATCGTGGTGAATGAGGACAGAGTTTCTGTCTGAGCTGCTTTCCTGTACTGTCTGGACCCACCTCCAGCAGGTTTTCAGAGGCCGTAAATCACACGGGATTCCCTTCA